TTTAGTGATAAATAACAATATACCGTTGTCATGGAAACGAAATTCCGATTCGCAATTCATTCCACTTATTTCATTTTATATATTTTATTTTCAACCAAATATTAAAATAAATAAGTAATTTTTTTTTAATACTTAGCATATATTGTATACAATCTTTTTAAAGAAATTTTTAGCAGAAAATAGGAAAGATTTATCTTAACATGAAAAATAAAGTTTTTACAAAACTGCCCGAATATGATCTTTTAAGCGTCCTTCCGACGTTGCCGCTTTTACTAACTACCAGGTTCTTATTTATCGGTATCCTGAATTGTGAAACAAAAAAATCCTATATTTCCGTCACGTATTTTATCTTTTTGATTATTATCAGGCAATTTACAAGAATTTGGTAGTACTGCCCCTTAGATCATAATATATGACTGATACAGATTACGTTGCATTGTAAAGTTATAATGAAGTCAGATTAACCATTCCAATCATGTATCCGTGTAATCGCAGATAAAATCAATTCCAGTAGTCACGACATGATGAGTAAAATACTGTAAATATTTATATCTTTGTATTTTTGTATGTATTGAAATAACTCAAAAAGTATTAGGCCGATTTCAAAATTGATTTCATCATTAAAAAGCTACGTTATCGCTGAGTAACTTAGGCTGTTATTTTGTGCGGACGAAGTCGCGGGCAACAGCTAGTAGCTCATAAAAACTTAAACCTATACAACCACCATAAGTGCGAATAAAATAATTTGAAAGGATACATTTTAATAGCATTAACAACACCATAAAAATAACTTCCGAACTCAGTGGTATTTAGTAATCATTCAATGGAGCCCTTAGTATCGATTCAGTATCAAAATTGCGTGCAGAGTAACTCGTCTGGCTCAACTTTGATGTGTTGTACTATATTTAATTGTTGTGCCCAGATGTGTAACATACTTGCAAGACTTGAAGCTTTTATACGTATCGTTGTTAATAATTCTTATCACGGTTGTCATCAATTATTAATGACCGTACTGCCACCTTTTATAGCACCTCATTGATTATGTTGCAATTTATATACATTTAAAGCAAAACAACGAATGATTCATACCTTATGCCTACCTTCATACCTTACAATGCTTAATTATTACATGAAAAGTGTTTATTGTTAATGAATTATGAACTCCAAATATTGGTATTATTCAACATATGTAGTTATAACCCGCTACACAATTATGTTTCAACTGCGCAGTTTTAATTGAACTGTATAACTGTACAATCAAAACTAGTCGAAATTTGTTTAGTTTTACTGACAGAAAAATCTTCACACACTGGTTTAACGGTAGACTTTGACTGTTCCGTTTATGTAAACTTTTTAGTAATTTAATGATATAACGTGTCGTTTGCAATCTAAATTAACTGACCGAGATTTTGTACAGAGAATATTTTAAATAAGTTCGTATTACCATAGTAGTTAATATTCGTTCGTATGCATACGTATGTAAAACAACGTCAATTCCATCAAACATCAACAATACTAAACGTACTGTTGGAACGAGTGCACACCTTGGACTAAACTCTCACAGCTATTGTGCGATTGTCGATTGATTTGCAACCCATTCAATAGTTTAGTTGCACAGACAAATCGAGTAATCTGCGCACCTCCATTATGCTAATACGAATAAAGCGAGACTACAAACAGTTATGCGATTTTTAGACATGTGCGCGCGCTCTTAGTTACATAGTTTCGCTTTAAACAATAAAAAAATCGAGATTTGACCGTGACTCTTTCGTTTATCAACAACGTAAATAATTACGAGAATTCGATAATTAACGAAATTAAGCCCATCAAGGAAGGCGCTCGCTTCTCAGATCAATATCTCAAGAACAATACTACACAGCATTGTCTTACTGGACACGTTACTTAATAATATAATGATGTCAGAATGGAAAAAAACTCGTCTAAAGTCATCGTGTTCTATCACACAGCTAATGGATTCTTGGACCTTCTTTGGATGTGTTTACACAAGCAGTTTTCTTAGGAACGAGCAAATGTTTTACATTTTTTTTTAAATCATAGATTTGTTTTTAATCATAACATATTTTGGTTACGTTTTAATTTATAAAAGACTTATTTTGACTATAGCGCCATTTCACTGTAAATTCCTTCCATATTTATTTATTGATTGCTTGGTTAATAAGAGACTCACGTTATAGAACCAAAGTCTTGTCCCCAATCTTTATTAAACTCTAATTAGAGACGATGCTTTCTGATCTATGGTGATGTCAAGATTTTATTGCTGTAACAAAAGTACTTAATGACACGAGTGTGAACATTGTTACAAACAGTTCCCTGCGGAATACCAGGAAATTGGCCAAGGTCTTGTCCAATGGTCCGTGGTTTCCTCGCAAAAGCACCGAGAACTAGGAAAACCACAAAGTATAAATCGTAAATATAAAACAATATTCTTTATAAGAATTAAATAATGTAATGTATTACGAGAAAAAATGAGGGCTACAATTTTATTCACTGATTTCACTATCTATATCATGTAAAAAGGAAGGGTTTAGATTTAATAAAAAAAACTAATATATAACTCACTATATTTGATTTACTTATGTTCATTTGTTTGGTCCTTATATTTAGATAAACATAGAAATAAACTTCCGTTTACAAAAACTATTTTCTTTATAGCACAACATTATTTTCGTACTGAATGGAAGGAATTCAAACACGGTCACCCTAAAGTCTACTATCGTTTACAAAAAAGTGTCACAAAAGACGTTTGAGCAAGTGATTGTCCTTGAAACAAATCGGACCTGTATATTTCAACTAAGATGGATAATTTCTTTAAGCATAAAATAAAATGGATAATACAACTGTTGGTATTAAAAAGACGGTTTAAATAAAGAATTAGAAATTGCCACAAAGAGTTCAGAAACAACTTGTTTATCCATTGTACCTAGTTCGCGTAAGGCTAGTAATTTAGTGGAGTATCGAGTTATTTGTTAGCTACAATAATTTAGTCTTAAAAGATTTCTTAATCTAAACGAGTGAATTTTCGATGTTCAGACATATTTAGTTAGTAACTAAATTACTTGGTACTTAATTAAATTACTAGAGAACCAAGTATAAGAGACTGCATAATATTCTCTCAATTATACTTACACGATGATACATTGATTAGCAGTCAGCTCAAGTCAGCTGGTTGGTTGTATTAGAAATCTGGAACAAGTTGCTCTCACTGGCCGGGAGATGCCGCTCGAATTACACTTACTTTCTCATATAAATTTAATACGCAAGTTAACATTTAATTACGCATCAAATTGCTAAAGTAAATACATAATTAAATATTCTTGTCATTAACCCAGAGCCCCCATTTTATTTGATATGCGTATTTTGAAAGTGAAATTAAAAGATTAATTCGAATAATTGTAAATTGCTTTGGAATGGAAAGAACCAAGGCGCATCCCTTAGGTCAAATCGGAGAAATGGTATGTTATTTCTACCATAATCAGTCACTCAAATTACGCATATGCAAAAATAATCAACCTTTTTATATAAAACGAACACTTTACAAGAGTTTTGTTAAGTCAGGAAGGTAAGTTATCGTCAATGCTTTTGCCAAGTATTTCAGAGAAATATGGCGAAGAAATGTAAATGTCGGTCAATGGGATACGCACGTGACTTGTTTAAGCACAAGTTACAAGTAACACGGTTAAACGTTATCATGAATACTTTTTGGTCGTTTAGTTTTTTTCCTTGGGACATCATTTCAAGGTACTTTCACTTGGTAACTTTACGCACTGAATTTTAGCAGAGTTCAAGTTTTATCAGTTTGAGAGGCAATTATTAAATATTTCAAACTTTTATGTCCCTGATTTGTGTTTTTTTTTTATAATAAAGGGGGCAAACAAGCGGCGTGAACACCAAGTTAATTTAATCCTTTTAATAAACAGTGCTTCCTAGTATGATTACGATTTTCAGTAGGCACTATTATTATTTACTTTTAAAATATTATGACTCTATCTTGAAATACTCAATATATGCATGAAACAGAATCGGTAAATGTGAATTAAATTAACGAGTAAATAAAATATCTTCTGTAAATAGATCTGTTCCTTTTAATGAGATGACAAATTTTAGAATACAAACACGAGTTATCAAATTGGTTTTGTATACAAATGTCTATAATGTTATTGATAGGAATTTGGTTTAGCCAGCACACAAAAATGATTAAATAAATAAAGATTGTTATTTATTCTCATATAAACTAATATCAATACAACTGTGTATAAAAACAAGATGTTATTTTTTATACTATTCTAGACATGTTCTTTTTCTCTACATACGAACAACTCAAATTAAATTAACATATGTCATTATTTAAATACAGCCAGTCTTACACTGCAAAACACCAAATAGGTTTCACTTACAACAGTTATCATGTCTAATTTTGTACCAGAAGAATAGTTTTAAAATATTCTGTTCATTGGACAAACAATCAGTGCTATGTGACGTGTGAAAATTTGCGGGAATTTGAATCCCCGTTCAACTTTTGGGGAAAATTAATTTCAATACATAAGCAAAGACATCAGATATTGGCCCAAAGAAATAATGAATTGCAGAAAAAATCATCAAGATTAATATTATTTCCATTTTACACACGCATGTTACGTTTAAATACAGTAACATGCAATATTTTCATAGAAAACTTAAACACGGCGGCGAGCTGACTGAAGCGATGTACAGATCGTGGTCCAATTATAAAAATAGAAATACTGAATACTCTCCGCGACAGCGCCGGCTTTCTCGATCTTACTGATCTTAACCTTAAATTTATATCCACGTTATTCTCTTTACTTTTTTTCAAGAAAGAACAATTATTTAAAGTAATTAAGTGTCAAAACAAAGTTTTTAAACAACTAAATTAGTGATTAAACATGACCGATAAAGAAGGATTCTTCGTGAAATTTCACCAGAAAATAAATAACAATCTGGACGATGTGTCGAAAAATAACTTTGCTAATTTGGAATCGAATTCAAAAAGGGTTTCGTATTTATGTAGCCTGCCTGCTGTGAAATCTTACGATCTAACTTCTGATATCAAATGCGCAACAGATAAAGAGATTTTCGAGAAAAAAGATTTGGGAAAAGCGCATCAACTCAAAGATGAAGGAAATAAAGCAGTACAGAGAGGAGATTGGGCAAAAGCATTGGAGTTTTACAGCCAAGCCATGATGTTTATACCAGAAAAAGATAGTGAGTATTTTGTGGTTGTTTCTTATTTAATTCAATGAAATATTAACAGTACTTTTTGGTGTTTTAGCTGATGAACTTTCAATACTTTACGCAAACCGTTCAGCGGCGTTATGTCATTTAGAACAATATGAGGACACACTTTCTGACATCAAGCGCTGTCTTTCTCTCGCATATCCTCGACACTTGAGATACAAGGTTTACGAACGCAGAGCGAGAACTTTACTAATAGTAAAGAGACATCAAGAAGCTGTTACAGCTTTCCAGTAAGCAATACTTTTTTATTATAAGTAAGCTATGAATTCATCATATTAGGTTCGTAACTCATTTATTTTTATTTGTTCGTAGGGATACAATAACTGCACTTGATGAAGCGAACAATCTAAACAAAGAGAAGAGACAAAAGATGCGAACTGATGCCAAACTTATGTTGGAAATTTTAAACAAGGGCATAACATTAGCCGGTAATCCAAAAGACCCGGAACCATTAAGAAAGACGCCACCGAAACCGAAACTACCGGGAAAGAATAATCAGCAGTACCCGGCCGCTTCTGATGCTATCCAAATAGATTACGATGAAGTAAAAGGTAGATTTGCTACAGCTGCAAAAGATATACAGGCTGGAGAAACGATATTAATTGAGAAACCATTCAGTGGAGTATTATTAGGAGAGTATTCGAAGACGCATTGTCAAAACTGTTTCATAAAGTAAGTATAGGTACTATTATAGTTAAGGAACATTGTTTATCCTAGAAAGGGAGCTGCTAAAACAACTCATAAAAATACTATTTTGTGTACTTTAAATTATTTCAATTTACAGATGTCCCGTGCCAATCCCCTGTCCAAGATGTCCTAACGTAATCTTCTGCAGTGATAAATGTTCGGATACCGCACAAAAGTCTTATCACAGCTACGAATGCCAAATATTACCACTGCTATGGAAATCTGGCTGCTCCATCACATGTCATATAGCGTTAAGAATGATCACACAACACAAAAAGGAATATTTCAAGGAAATAATCTCCAATATAGATGAAAAACCCACTGGAGTATACAAGACTGGTGATTACAGAAATATCTATCATTTAGTAGCTCACGAAGATAAGAGAACTAAACAAGATTTCTTACACAGAACACAAATGACTGCATTTCTTTTAAAACTGCTTGAAATAAGCGGCTACTTCGAGAGTAAACCGAGAGAAAAACCAATTAGAATGAATGAACTCAAATCATTAGGTATTGCTGAAAACCATAAAGATGACGTCGCATTAATTGGTGGGTTAATATTAAAGAATCTACAAGTTCTTCAGTTCAACGCACACGAAGTGTTCGAACTCCAATGTCCAAAACCACGTGTTGGCAATAACGTGATAAAACATAGTGGTAAATCAGTTTTCTTAGCAGGCGCTGTGTTTCCAACACTCGCGTTGTTTAACCATTCGTGTGATCCTGGTGTTGTTAGGTAAGAAAAAAATTACTTTCATATTGTCCTTATACGATTAAAATTGACGTCAGAGATAAACGCTACCTCTTACTTTATGATTCTTAAATCTTACTAATATTGTAAATGCGAAAGTTTAGCTGTACGTTTGATAAAATTTGTAGCCTAAATAACTGGACTTCAGCAAAATTTAGCATATATGTAGAACAAAGTCTGCAAGAACCTATGCTACTTACCTTTGTTTTTTCATTTCACGCGGAGTCGCGGGCGAATGCTAGTTTTCAATAGTCATAGAATTTTTTTTTCTTTAGATATTTTTGCGGACCATACATTGTCGTACGAGCAGTGAAAAACATTAAGAAAGGCGAGGAAGTGGCAGAAAACTACGGACCAATTTTCACAACCGTACCGAAGGAGAAGCGACTGGCGGATTTGAAAGAGCAGTACTGGTTCGATTGCACTTGCGTACCGTGCCAGCAGAACTGGCCGCGTTACGACGATATGACAGAAAACTATATGAGATTCAAGTAAGTTTCACGAATACAGAGTAAAGGCTAAAATATAATTTATTTTTCTCATGGCCCTTCAAAGATTTGATAGAATTCGACATTGCAAACATTTTTTTTACATTTATGGCTACATTTCAGGTGTGATTCTGATAACCCTTGCCCCAACGTGGTGCCGGTCCCGTACGACTGCCAGGAGTTCATGGTGAAGTGCGGCTTGTGTGACCAGTACACAAACATTCTCAAAGGGCTTAAGTCCTTACAGGTAAATCACATATTTAGGCAACGCCAGGAGTAAAAAAGTAACTAAGATATTCGAAAATTGTAAAATAAATAATTGTCATTTAAAATACTAAGGCGCCTGCAATCCTAAGAGACCTACATTTATCAAAAATGACTTTTAAATTTTTCATTAAACCTCCCCCCTTAATCAACTACCTGCCCCCTATTTTATAAGTTGGCAATCCCCATGCAATTTTTTGTTTTTACCACAAATTGAGATGTTTGAAATTGACATAAAAACATCATTTAATAACATTAATTCAGTCCACTTTATTACTTGACTATGATAAACTTCAAAAATAAACATCAATACATATAAAGTCCATACACAATGGTATAGCAGAACATTGTGTCGTTCCTGAATAGGTCGTCGACGTATGCATCCGTCTCAGGGTCCCAAATGCAGCGCTGTCCACTCTTCACTCCCGCACCCTTCATCTCTATTATTGTTGATTGGACTAGAATTTTATACCTACAAATTCAACAATTACACATAAAATAAATATAGTATTTTCTTATAAGGATGTGAAGGGAATGATTTGATGGTAGAGATGCATAAGGGGAATATTCTGTTTCTGTGTGTCTCTGCCTCCACGCAGCTCCCCAATAGAGAATTGAAAATTGTCAATCTTACTAATCTTACTAATATTATAAATGCGAAAGTTTAGATGGATGGATATCCATCCATCTAAACTTTCGTTCCATCCATCCGGATGGTTTGTAGCCCAAACGGCTGAACGGATCTCCATGTAATTTGGCACAGGTTTAGAGCATAGTCTGGAAGAACACATAGGGTACTTTTTATCCCGGGAATAGTTACGGTTCCTGTGGGATTAATCAATTTAATTTTTTAATGTTTACTCGATAATTCTGCAACGGTTCAATATATCGTTTTGAAATTTGGCACAAATATAAAACAAAGTCTGGAGTACACATGGGATGAGGTTCATCCCCGAGAAATGTCCAGTTCCCGAGGGATACGTAGCTTTTTATTATTTATATAGTTCGTATGTTTTCTAATACCACGCGGACGAAGTCGCGGGCAACAGCTCGTCAGATATAAAACCTCTTATAAATAAGACTAGCTCTAGAGCTAGACTAGGACATAGGTTGGAGAAACCTATTTTAACTATGAAGATTGAATAAAAAATTATGGTAAAATATATTTCATAGCATATGAAAAAAAGTTTTTCAATAGCTAACTAGAAACAATAATCACCTTTTCATGTCTAGATCTTGCACTCTCTGTCTTACAGCATTAGCTATACTTTTTGCCCACTTGGGAGCCTGGTCCGAGCGGTACTGCCGACCCATTAACTGCTCCTTCATTGTTCTATTGATTAAGTCTCGCACATTCTGAGCCTGGAATCTAGAACAAGAAATTAAATTTATCCACTATGTTAAGAAAACTTCCTTATTAGAAAGAATTTTGATTTATTGGTATCATAAATATTTGTTATTCCATCATAATTAAATTTTTGTTTTTGTTATACTATACTATACTATATACTTTAAGTTTGTTATTATAAGATTCACTGTGGTCTGTGGGGCAGAGGCCTGGTGATCAATGGATAGTGTAATGACACAGGGCACCAACCTAGTTTGGACACCAGTCCCCTGCCCAAGGGGAAAATTAATAAATCATTTTTATTTTATTTTATACTAACTACATAATTTTAGAACACTTTCAATGATGCAATAGATTTAAACGTACTTAGACATCCACAATGTAATAAAAATATCTTACTTCTCTCCAAGTCCTGGACGTACTTCATACTTTGCTGGGGCAAGTGGTCTTTCTGTTTCAACAGGACTCACTTCAGTTGCACTTTGAATTGCCTCCACACCCTCGCCTTCTTCAACTATTTACAACATAAATATATGTTAAACATATAGTATTTTAACTATTGGCCAATTCTGATTTTGTATATTATTCACTTTTAACTTAGATACTACCAGCCTTAATAAACACAGTAAAGTTAAATTTAGAAATAACTTGACTATAAGCAAAACATTAGTACAAATTTTTAAGGCTGTACTAGTATAGTATAGTACAATCTGTGACTTAGATACAGGGGAAATGGAATATATGTCCAGAACACCAGGATGTTGACATTTTTAAAAATGTAAAATAGTCAAATGAAACATACTAGCAAACAGTATAAAGTAACATGTTACAAATAGTGAAAAATATTAAATAATACTTTAAACCTTACTTTCTTCATCATCTGCCATTTCTTAATATCATTTAACTCTGGCAAAATACTCTTGTATCTGAAAAAAACCAGTTGAGTTCTATTAATTACTTATTCTTTTCCACAGGACACTGATATGATGTGCAAGCTTGGTAAAGGAGCTATGGAAGAAGGAAAATATGGAGAGGCTATAAAGAAATTCATTGAGATGTTAAAATTATATGACTCTACTCTTGCACCCCCATATAAGTCTTATTATGATTGTGTACAAGACCTAAGAAGGAGCATGTTGGCTATGGGAAATTACAGTATTGTTTAATTTTCTTAACATGTGCCAAATGTCAACACTAAACTTAATCTTATTTGGTTGTTAGGAATATAGTTATCTATATTTGTTTATGGTAACATAGTTTATCAATCCCCAAACCAGGGTTACCAATGTTAACTAGCTACCATACACACTTGAACACAAATATAGGTGAAAACTTCTCAAACTACATGGAATGTGTTAACTTTATTTAGTATTAAGTTATATTGTTGTCTTTTTCCTACTCTAGGTGTGGTACAATAAATCTTTTTTAAAACCATATTATGAATGGAATGACAGAATGATATGTCAGTCCACTTCTAAAATAACTAAAATTTTCACAATTGTTAATTATTATGTTTTTATTAAAACATGTTTTGAAACATTGTTTTTCATTCTTTCAAAATGACTACATTTTAAAATAATCACAGCCTAGCTAGTTAATTTTATAAAAAAAGACCTATTTTTAAGTTTTTTGGAAATACCCAGGAAGTGTTTAAGGTAAGTGTAATGTATGGTAAATAAGGCAATATAAGTGTATGAAATAGAGATATGTAAACATGAATAAGTAAAAGCTAAATATTTGTATTTAAGTTAACAATAACAAGACGATGTATCTTGGTTCATGTTCTATTAAAAAATAATGAAAAGGAAAATTGATACAGCAATACAGACCTCTCGTTGTGGTTGTAATAGATCTAACGGATTTTATCGACCAAATAAGCAAGAGATGGGGCACAGCGACAACGAAATTACCCGTGACCGAAAAGTTAATATCGTAGACTGACAAGTAAAAGACATACAGAAATGAAAAGGTTGTGTGAGCTAACGAAATCAGCAAAATGTATACTATAAATTAAACACAAAACTTACTTAAACCGTTAAACACAGAACGTGAAACAATATTTATTTTTATTTTGATTATGCATGACAGTGACAACCAACAAAATCTATTCAGTTGACATGCAAACGTGGTTTATTGCTTTATGAGAAAAAGTAAAATAATCAGATTAAGTTATTTTTGTTTTATAAGCTTTATGAACATCAATTATTTAATATTAGTAATTATTTTTCAGCTCCTTTTTTGATAGTCAGTCCAAGAAAATATCTGTAACTTATGGTTTATTATCTGCATTAGTTCACCATCTATTTTGACACATGACATGTGTTTAATTTCAATTTCGAGCCGCAAACTATAATATTAAGAAAACAAATCAAAACTAATATTATCTTAGGCTCAGACAATGGCTACTTATGATAATAAAGTATGGCTCTTAAAGAATATCCGAGAAGCATTTATTGCGACCGATGATACAGGTTTATGTGATATTGTAATGGGTGGTGAAGATTTTTCGAAGATATTTCAAAATAAAGCCATCGAGGAAAAAAAGAAATATAAAGAGGGAATTCTGTATCAACCTAGCACCAGTAAGCTTAAAGAACTTAGTTCAGACTGTAGCGATGAAAGAGAATTGGTGACACAATTTGACGCTTATCCTGATATGGAAGATAGTGAAGAAGATGATCTAGTTTGCGGTAGCTATATACGTCACGAAGATTTCTTGCCTCACAGGTATTTACTATCATTTACTGCAAACTATATTATTAAACTTTCTAGGCAATAGATTTTTATTTTTGCATGAAATTGTATATTTTACTTCATAAAATTTGTAGGCAGAGGTCAAACACAACATTGTGGCTCGATAAAAAGGAACAAGCTTTAAAGAAGGCAGCTAAAATTAAAGTTATAAAATGGGAAGATCCAACTACAAAACTTACAGAGGAACAAATGGCAGAAACCTTTGCAAAGATGGAGGTGAAAAAGATTGAAAAGAAGAAATCATTATTGGCTGAACAATTGGAACATTGCCCTGACCTTCCTCACCGCCAATACCTTGAGTATGCAAAGTTTGATGGCACAGCACAACTAGGTCTGCCTATAAAGTCATTTAAAATCTTTATGACAATGTTGCCAGAGAAACATCAAAATTATCCATTAGTGGTATGTGTTATTGCCAGCGCCAAAATTAAAGATTTGATAGGATTTACATGCTATAAATACAGGTATATATTATAAATTTGTAAGACTTCTTTTTTCTATGTTCCTAAAGACATTATAATATATTTATAGTTGAATTACATATTAAAAACATACCCATGGTTTGGAAATGATTTTTTCACCTGTATATTGTTATTTTGTAGTATTAAAATCACCATGGTTAAGTAAAGATATTTATAAATATTTAAGTAGTCTAGGTTTCATGTTGTAAAATAAAATGTATTAATATACATAAACCCCAAAGCATAAATTTGTTATTATTATTCCCAGCATTGAACATCCAGAAATAGCTCTTGGATCTGTGAATGAGTATGGACTTTGTATTGCGGAAGATGATGGAGAAGTTGACTTGGCATTTCCCTGTTTGGACGCTAATGAGCCCTGCTCTAAGTTTGGTTTTACATGTCTTGGTCTAATTGATTTGAAAACAAAGATCATTATAGACAGAGCAACAGATTCGATTCCTGATTATTCAGTGATGAGTGGAGCTTTTCATGTGTTCCCAAAAGCATCAGATTCAGGCCAAAGTCATCATAACACATCCAGACATAACACAGGAGGCAGCTCAACATCAGAAGCAGTAAGAAGTGCTATCAGAGCCGTTAATGAAGGTATGCTATACTTGTTATTACTAATTAGTAGATTTTGCAGGTGACCGGCAGAATAAAAAAAAAGTTTCATTACTAACTTATGTGTTGTGCCAAACTATGTTCTACTTTGCCATATTTCATTAAGTTTGGCCAATATTTTTTGAATAAACATTGTAACGAAAATTTAACCAAACAGTATGCAAGTTAGTATGTGGTATATGTTATGTTTATGTTACAGAAAGAAAAGCAGGTGGATTGAATGTAGATAAAATGCAGTCTCATATAATAGCAACAGAAGCACCGCAGTGTAAAGCTTACAAAGTACATTTGTTAAGAAAAGTCAGAACTAATACTCTGGTACAGTTGGTGATATCATTAGATAGGATTGAAATTGAACCTATTGTCACACATAAGCATGCATTTTGGGTAAGCTTTTTTTTTTAATATGAATCATTCCTTGGACAAGATCTTTAAGACAATAATGCTTTTGGTTTTATGAATAATTTACATTTTGAATTGCAATTCTTGTTTTTTTTTCAGTCAAGATCTAAATATTTCCTGCACAGTATAGACTCTGTGGCGTGGTGTCAGATATTAGAGTCAAAAGCTAATAAAACCACTTTTAGGATAGTTTATTCAACTAGTCATAATACATCTTTAAATGACAGGACTGCAGGTACTTTGATAAATAATATTTTTTGTTAAATTAATTTTCTGTAATTTTTTTTTACTTTTTACAATTTAATTTCAGGTAACCCAAATTTCTTCCATCCAAACACAACATACAAATGTCACGATTTTGAATGTGATCACGAAACAGGCAAAGAAATCGTTGAGAAAATAAACACAATATTAGATCTCAGGAATAGTCCATGCCGTAGAGAATACAAGACTGCTAAAGAGAAAAAGTTACAAACCCGAAGAAGTTTTCACACAAAGCAAACAAGTTGAGTTCTAAAGACTGTTATAGTGTAAATAAATGTTTAAAGTTCCTGAACAGTATGGTTTCTTAATGACTGAAGTGAACACAATAACTGCCATACAAGACATATATATTTAACAGTATCTTTTGCTATATTTTCACAGGAAAAAATTGTTTTATGTGCATTAAATTACACAAACTACTTATCTATGTAATTATTATTTCCTTCAGTTTAAAAAAGTGTTTTTAATAATACCAGTGGATACTGAAACATATTTTTATGTGTACTTGTAAAAGTTAAAAATGGTGTATCAAATATGAAAGATTAATAATAATGGCCTCGTTTAAATACCCACCTTTCTATTTATAGATAAAATTATAAATGGATCTTAGACTACCTATGTGGTATATCTGTTTACAAGTATTTTCCAAATTAAATATATGAAATTGCTTCATATTCAGTTTACAAATATTCAAACATTTAATCTGATTCAAAATTATATAACTTTTAACATGTATGAATAACAAATGTCTTTAATAGTACTAAAATCTTGAAAAAAATTATAATTTTGCTTTCTCTCAAAAACAACAAACTACAGATAAATAAGCAGTGTTAAAGCACTTTTAAGCTTAAATCTTTTATGTTATTCAGTCATTTATATGCTATTTAAAAGAATAAAACTATCTGAATATGGTCAATTTGACCATACTAAATTGTATAAAATGGTGATTTTTAATTTCCATTAACTTTGTAATTCATTTATTGAATATATTGTAAATTAAATTGTATATTGCAATTAAATATTTAAATAAACTGTTATTACTGATTGATATACTGTTATTTTCTTTTTTACACTAACTCGTAAGTGGCCAAATATCTTATTAGAACATTTAACATTTCAATAACACACTACATTAATGATAAAAAAAAACAAAGTATTAAGTCTAATAAGAATACTTTATTACATTTACAATAGTTGTATTTAAAGCTAGACTTAAAAATAAACTAAGCAGTAGAAATATGAGAATATTTCCTTGTAAAATTAAAACCAGAGACAATTAAAAATCAAAATAAGTTATAAAGAAATATTTGAGTGTTAAAATATATGTAAGTCATTTTAATTATGTACATAATAAATGGCATCCCATTTCATAAATCATTTACATTTTGTTGGACCATATTTATTTCTTCTTTTGTTTATTATCTGTAAATTTGATCACTTTCACGTCTTTGGTTCTATAGAACTATTATCAAGGATATATTCATTAATTTGCTTAATTCTGTTTTCACAATGACTCAATATAACATTATCTAGTTCAGCAGCCCTTTTAAATAATGCATGTGATTCTCTAACAGATTTGTGCAGCTTTGTTTGACTGTCAACCAGTTTAGTTATATTAACTTTGCCTTTTAAAAATTCTATATCTTCATTTGTTAATGCAGAATAACATATCTTTGCCTTACTTGATGCTTTTACTGCTAATTGGTACTGCCTGAAAAGTTAAACATATACAAAAATGTTTTACAATTATAGCTAGAATCCCAATACTATCAGTTTGTACTACATTTATGAGCCTTAATTTTGAATTATTTACATATCTGCTTGTTTATCTTCCTCACAAATACTTACAGTCTCAGGTCATGATATCTATTTTTCCTGTTATTAACTTCTTTTTTCCACTGCTCTTTTTCCGACAAAAGTTGTTCATAATAACTGAAAATCAAATATTACCCACATAGTTTATTATGACAACCAACACATAAGTAACATTGCAGTTTTTTACCTTTGGAGTTCTTGTTTATGATTCTCGTTGATATCTGCATCTGTTTTAGTCACGTTTTCCTCTGTCCTTCCTGATAATAATTGCGGTCCTGTAATAAATTGTTTTATGAATGAAAATACCGACTTGGTTCAAAATATATAACGTTGATAGTAAACCCACCCAAAGAATCTCGCCTCTCAAAAAACGTTGAACGTCTCCGTCGAGGTGGCGACCGTATAGATTGTTGTACTTCGTGTTCATTAATCGAATTTTCCATTTTTTATCAGCAACAGCATAAAATATGACCAAAATTTATATTTTTAAATATCGTAGTTTACAAAATTTAAAATAATGCAAACAAACAGACGTTTTCAAACCGTCGCCAGTGAACAGATAAAAAATAAAAGTGACACTTGTCTATGCCATAGAAAATAAAATGGAAATTGGAGGAATTTAAAACTTTTATAAATAATTTAATACGATAAACAAAATGTTATGTACAGTTAGTTTTTGATAGATAGGACTGAGGTTTGTGAGATATTTTAATGGCTCTTAAACCATTTTCCATAACAGCGGCATTATGTAGAGTATACCCATAACTACCTCCTGCTGCGGTGGAACATAATAATATAAATTCCTATTATTTTTTTAGGAAACCACGTTTTAATAAAACAGATTTCAACGGTATATTTTACTTGGACAACTTGTTAAGGTATGATTTTAAGTGAAAATGTATCAAAACAAAGTAAAAAGGAGCATGTTTTATTCGTACATCGGAATCGTTTTATAACTTGACATTTCCTTGACGTTTCTGTGCACGAATTTATTCGACAACTATCGGTAAATATCTAAGTACACATAATACCGCATTTAAGACTTTTTCGTATTTATCTTTTATTTTTGCTGCTATTCACTCAATACAATGTTTTGTTCTCGTAAGAGAACCTAATTATCAATGGGTAAGACGTAAAGCCTTGGCTACTATTATTATTTGTGATATTTCATTTGCATGTCCGCTTGTGAATTGTTTTGTATTACAATATTGATGTACCCCCAACAGCAAACAGTGATGGAGTTCAATGAATGTCGACCAAATGAGGTATTGGACCCGGTTGATTTAGAGTTCTATTCGGCAAGATCTCGCACACCGAGTCCTGCGCCTGTGCTTACAACTAACGTATGTTGCGACTTGGAGGACATATTGAGCGACGTAAGAACACTCATTTCTTTCTTACGTTTTATCTACTGGAGCATTATGACTTCACCATTGATAGGTGCAATTTAATTAAAAAATCAATTGGTTAGAGCTTATTACATTTATTTATTACTAAAAATAAAATTTGTATTTCTCCAGTATACAATTTTATGTTGAGAAATATATAAATATGCTTATTTAATATTTAATTTACTTTTGTAAACATTATTACTGCATATAATAAATAGCAATCTAACTTTATGTTAGTAAGAGTAAATAAAAATGATAATTTTTTTTTTATTGTTAATAGAAATTAAAACAGTTATATGTATGGATTTTTATTCAAATATTGTGGGATAACCACAATATTTTATCTCGGATTATTACACTCCAAAAACTCATCTAAAGCTTAACTTAAGTTTAATACATGATAAAATATAATGGTAATTCCAACAAGAATGTATAAAGTTTAGTCTCCACTATATCAGGCCATATCAGAGTCCCTGCAAGGTTCACTTAGAGTAAGCCGAAGCCAGTTAATAAATCAAGAACTAACAATAAGACCAGAAGCGAACATAGAGTCAAACGTACCAGAAGAGCTGGACCTATACAAAGTTATATTTGAAGTTGAAAGTGATACAGAAGCAAAGATGGGTGACCTAGATGGTGCTACAACGGCTGTTAAAAATGACACTCCTAAAGGCCAGGTAAGAAGTTTTCCGTAATACCTTAAAATATAGATAGACGCTGTTTAGTTAAACATGTATTTTAAAACTCTGCGGATTGGTGTTGTAGATTTCTAGTCATCTTTTACTACAAATGTGTATAATCATAATGTTAACAGTATAAACAACAAATCACTTATTGCTCAAGATTGGATTTTGCACACCTACACAATATTATTTTTAGAACTTTTACTTGTCAGAAATCAGTACCAAGTGCTAGAATCACATTTAAAATGGGTTGATGTATGTTTAAAAGCTGAAATGTATTTGAAACCCTGTCTAAGTGTTTTATGGTAAGCCTCTATATTTCCATGTAATAGAAGAGTTGGATGTACTCTTACTCTTATTTATTTAGACAAGTAGTTGCCAAATTTAACATTATACATAAAGAAGTTTTAAAATTAAAAACAGCTTACAATACACGAAGTAATTAACTGTAACTGTGTTAAATTTCACATTCATACATTCACTCAATTTCTGCACTAACCCCCGAATTTGCAAAATTGAATATTAGAAAGCCATAAACGAATATTAGTTTAGCCCTGTACACACATGCTGACCTATTTGAATTCGTTTAACTGTAACCAGTGCAGGGACATCAATTCCCGCCGTAAATTAGTTTACACGCGACGCATCGACAATATCGGTCAAGATTGGTTAATTTAGAACATGAATATTTTAAAAATTCTGTTACTTAACTCAAAGATATATCATTTGTTCATAGAAGTTATTGTGTAATTAGTTAAGACTCTCAAAACCTATAAAGTGGCAGAATCTGGAATTTGTGGACCATAGAGTAGTTTCATAATCTGCAGTATCTTGGATGATCCGACTAAAAGCATCATAGCAAAAATAAGATACTGTAGATGGAACAGGACATGTTTCTTTTTATACGTCAGCTTCTACTGTACATGATTACACTCAAGGTGAATAAAGATTTAATTGAAAACCGTTTATACGAGATTATTGACCTTTTCACCTTGTAAATGTTCTTTGTGATATGAAGACCTAAATGTCTCATAGATGTTATTATGAGTAGAGTTGAAACAGTATCAGAGATGGCATTGGTGGTTTTTGGATGGCATCGAATAAGTAATTCAATTTTTACTTTCTTAGTAGTGTATTCCAGTTTCTCAAATTTAATATCAAATAAAATTCTGTGGATTACTGTAAACTCATAAGATTTGCATTCTAATAGGTTTAAATAGGGCTCCTAAAATTCTAAACCGAAGCACCTAAAATATTATTGGTAATTACTAATTACCATACCCTCGTGGCCTTGGTTTCATTATCGCTTTAAGTTTAAAGAAATCCAACACTCACTCATATTATGTCATAAAACCACTACTAATTAGAGTTACACTAATTGTTAACGGTGTGCGAACCAATTAGTGATAACACGGAGTTAAAAGATTTTTATTGCCAGTAAAAAATATTTTACTGTTCATAGTTAGTTACTAGCTTTCGCCCGCGACTCCGTCCGCGTGGAATTAAAAAGACTAAAAGTGAGTAGCCTATGTATTCTTCCAGACTGTCATCTACATCTATTCCAAATTTCATTGTAATCCGTTCAGCTGTTTAGGCTACAAACTCTAACAAACATCCATCCATCTAAACTTTGGCATTTATAATATTAGTATGATTGTTATTTATTTAACAGTTATTAAAACAAATGAAATATTGTTTTAAAGCAAAATTGACTAAACGCTATGATGCTCGGAATAGCTCCGATTAAATTTATAAAAAAAAATATCTATGGATTGCAGCAGATTGTTGTGCTACTTTTACATCAATTGTATTCTCTTTCATTACAACAGATTCATTCGTGTGTAAACAACGTGTTTTGTTAGAGGCCTGAGTTATTGCGTACTTTTTCACGATACCCACCTTTGAAAGCCTGAATACAAATACATACCTCACTCTGATTGGCACTAAACTTATATTGATAAATACAGCCGTAGAAGAAATACAATGGCTTTTGGCTATTTGAAAATTACCTTTTGATGGTATTTTAATTAAGATTCACTGAAAAAATAATAAAAAAAAGTGAAAAATGTAAATAACTATTTGTTGATTGTCAGTATTAACAAAGATGTTTGTTCTTGTAACAATATTGTTCTTGTATAGATGAATTTCAATGGATCTCGACAAACACTTAGGCTCAGGTGAACGCGCTTGTTGATAAATAAAACATTGCGACAGACGCTATACTGAGAATAATCTGATGTAAACAGTGTAGGATAAATATCTCTGTAATGTAAACACGGTAAAATTAAATAAAAAAAAAACATACAGACGAATTCAGTACCTCCTTCTTTTAGGAAGTCGATCAAAAATAGTACCAATAGTTAGATTGTTAATGCCTTGACCTTAACAATGTACTACTATAGAACATAAACCTAGTTAATTTTTGATTCATGTTATCATAGGATTTGGTATTCCTTTGTTTTAAAACTTTGAAGTAACTTGCCTTAAGGGATTTTGATAGCTGTTTCAGGTGTTTCCAGATCAGTTTAAATCGAAGACTACTATCATATTGATTGTTTTGTGAAAAATTTGGAAATTCCATATTTTAGATAACATTAAAAAGTATGTTGTTTAAAAAATAAACATAAAATGTATTTATTGTTAAATTGATAAAATACGTTAACCACCTGCGTATGCGCCTATTTTGTTGATTGCATTTTATTGCGGTATATTTTTTTAGGTCTAATAGTAACAAGATATTTAGTAGTCACCTGTGAAAAATGTTAGTGTAAATTTCATTTTTTAGATAGCAATATTTCTATGTTATGTGTTAGTGATAAATATGTAACATTGTGAGGTGTGTTATTGAACTTGGATGATATTATTAAACAAGAAATACCAGATTTATTCCGTAATAAGACGGACATGGTGGTTATGAATGTTAAGATATACAAGCATTATGCATTACCGGTTTGAAAACTAAAAACAATTCTTATGTCACGTGCAATTTACAATGGATTGTTATTATTTCGTTCTCATCTTGTAGTACTTCTGTCTGTCTATATTATACATGTTCAAGTTATTTAATTGATATTTTTGTGATAATCGAATGTATATTCAATAATAACCGAGGTTCAATGTTGTTGTACAAGATAAAAATTGAAATTGAATATAATAAAAAAAACAAGCACTTCTCCTTAATAAATATCACAGAGTAACACATTACAGAGATATCACTTTTATAAAATGCCTCTATAAAATATTTTTAAACCGTTACCCATTAATTGACAACGATTTTATCCTATTATTTTGGCATTACATTAAAAAAAATAGGTCAAATCCTTTGTTACGACTACTGATTTTTTATGTTGTGATAAGAACGGAACGTAAATAAAACATGACATATTAAATGACGGGCCTATACCGCCTATTGATATCCATGTTGTGGGCAGCGCATGATTCATTGGACAATGTCTTTAGTTTGGTATGCAAGCCCCGCACTGGCACACGTCCTCTTGAATAACAATCGTATTAAAATATTGTTTTACGATTAAACAATTCGTGTTTTGTGAACTGATATAGATTGATTTTTTGTTTACTAAAAGTGATAATGACGTTCAGAGAATCACAGATTATACAAAAGGTAAAAAGTGTTAGTGGCTGAATTTTTTAAAAAACTTTATGGTGCGGCAGGAAAACATTGAAATTCGAAAAATAGGCATCTTTATTGCGCTAATCAAAACAAATCGCCTAAAAGTCTATTTGACGAATGTTAATTGGGTAGATTCAAGACAACCGTCAAATACCATTGCCGAAGTACTTGTGTTAAAATATTATGTATTTTAAATAAACTAAGAACTTTGAAAGGTGATTAAAGGGACGGCAAAATAGAGAAAGATTCAACTACATGACGATCATTTAGCCATAATAGGAATGTTAATAACGTAAAAGGATAAGGATAATGCATAAATACATTGTAAATAGTTAGTAAATACGTATTCGATTGTCAATATGAGAAAACTACATTTTACACTATTAAGCATACATATTTAAACTATGACTAATATAGTAAAAATATATTTTGATAACATCCATTATATATAGTTATAAAAATAATTGTGTCCAGGACTCATGCCGTTTGGTCGGCGGGTCAAAGTTCTACGAGATGCTGGATGGGTCGCAGGCTGCGGACACCGCCACGCCCTCGCCCACAGAGAAACAAGACCACATGAAACCTATCGAGAGCGATGATGAAGGTACAGAGACACTTCTAGTTATGTTTTTATCTATGACACATCCGAAGCGAGATTTTGACAACATTAGGACAAAATTGATGATAAGACGTGTATCTTATATGTAGAGCGAATTTTGTCGTAACTACGATTCTATCTGATATTTAGTAATGCCCTTTAAAGACTTACATTTATTATTATCATGAAACTAAACATTGACATCTGCATTTTAATGCAACTATGTGTGTATGATGTCATAGACAAAAATGTAATTGTAAAAATATTTAAGAATATCTCTTGTGGGGTATCCCGTGAGTCATTCATTCGGTCATATGGGTCAGTCGCTGATAATTAAAACCTGGGCACCCACAGAATGACGAAACGACTATAAACATATAGATGTTGTACCTATATGCAGATTGCTAACATAAGGTGTAATTCGTACTAACTTACTAGCAATTTTAGCACTACGCTTCGCAAAATTTGGTACTAGCTAACGAAATATCAAGGCGACGAATAACATTGGCATTGTATTTCGCTCAATCAGGGTGAAAATTTATTTAAAGGTTACTTTGGCGAGAAAGTAATACAAAAATGTAGTCAGTGTTTCTCAGAAATAATTTACAACATGATAGCGAAAGATAATTTTTTTTTCGTAAAGCTACGTATAATATTAGAGTAAAATTAGTTTTTTATTTTTATTTAAAGTAACCTCTGTAGGTAGCTGCTCTTTACTTTATAGATTTTTTCTGTGCAAAAAGTACTCTCAGTGAGGATAATAATAATGTCCTTTATTTATCTTGAACTAAGTAATATCCATTTAATCTAATGATAAAGGTTATCGATGTTTATGAATAAACATTTCATAATCGAATGTATATTTTATTACTACATTGTAGATATAAACATATGCCTCTCTAGTGCAGTACAGTTTCTTGTATATTACATTAAAATAAGTATGTTCTATAATATTATACCAATAAATTGTGGGTTTAACGATTTGCTTAAAATCGAAACTATGAACTGTGTACTAAAATTTTCGGAAGAGCGCGTGCACACATTTGACTGAACTATAGGCGTATATTTTCAATATATATTCAATAATCTAAATAATTTATATCCCAATATGTATATTATTTTTCATGAAGGGGACGAATCATGAAAACATGATAATACAAATAAAATTTTGTTATTTAAATATAGGGAAATAAAAGGAACAAAAACAAAAAAGATTCTAATTTACAAGTTTTCTGCATCGATCGACGAGGCTATAATGTTCGCGTTTAATTTGTAATGGCCTTAGAAACATATTTATTTTATCTATATTTCTATACTTCTATACTAATATTACAATGAGGAAAGATTTTTGTATGTATTGAAATAACTTGCAAACTACTGGAACGATTTAAAAAATTCTGGCACCATTAAAAAGCTACGTTTTCAGTGAGTAACATAGGCCGCTTTTCAATATATATATTTTTATTTTACGCACATGATTATGCAAGCAACAGCTAGTACTAACGTAACTAGAAACAGAAGGGCTGTCACAACCAATAATATGTGATTTTTCTAGTATCAGATGTTGATCAAGACTGCACTGTGTTCTGCGGTGTGAGCTACCTTGGTGCGCAGAACATCGCCGACCCTAAATCGGAGCAGGACATCCAGCGCATCATGCAAGAGCTCAGTTCCATGCCGGAGAACAGAGATGGCATCGCTGTGTCAATATCTATACCGGTCTGCTCGCAGGGACTTGTCGTGTGAGTGTCAAATGCTTGAAATAATCAATACATCTATAGAAATTCAAGGTTTTGTTGCACTAAATTAGTAACTAAGGGAGACTTGGATTGATTGCAGGCAGAGTTTAATTCTACTAAAGGAATCTCTTAGTACTTTACTGTTACAACTTAAGGTCCTTTAATATTTTTTTATTAACGACAATGCTATATGTTTGCAGAATCCTATACTAACGTCGTAGTAACTTTACAAAAATAGTTTACACCATATTAAGGAAATTAAAACTGACAATGAAAAACAATGTCATTGGATCACCTTTTTAAAGACCAGTAACACATCTTCGGTTCCTCTTGCTCGCGTCACCCTTTTTCTTATTAAAAAGAATGTAATAAGATTGTCAATTCACCTAATAAATCTGCTTATACGTATTTTACTTGTCAGTCTGTACCAAGCGGACAGCAATAGCGTGATGACGCGGTACGCGGTGAACCGCATCTCGTTCTACGCGCGCGGCGCGGCCGGCTCGCCCGTCGCCTCCTGCTTCGCCTTTACCTGGTCTCACGGCGAGACCAAGGAGTCCGCCGTCTACCGCTGCCATGTCTTCCGTTGTCATATCGCGGAAGCCGTCAATCAAGTTTCCAGTAAGTGATTTATTTGATATATTTACGTTAAAGAGCTAACTATTCCTTTAAACACAAAGCATTTTCAAAGTGTCACGTGAAACTCCTATTGGAGAATTTGTTTTTTTCTGAGATGTATAAGAATCTATGTGTAATTGGAATCAGCGGTTTCTTAAACTCTATATTAGCAAGGGTAGATAAAAAAGCGTACTACCAGTTAAAGCCTTAAGTTTTAATTTATAACAATAATATTGGTTCCGGTAACTTTGCAGCTGCAAAAGTTGTAGGCGTATTACGCATTTAGAATTTGTAATAATGTGAACAAGAGAATCTTTGTTTGATTTCACTAATCGTGTGAAATTAAACAAAGATTCTCTTAAAAAGAAACAATGTATTTTTTTTTTCATATAATTAAACTGTAGAGGTTTTATTCCTTAGATTGGTTAGGTTTCTGCTTGTAAACGCTTACACAATGTTTGCTCGATCGTTTATTATAAATTAGTACGATCATTTCAATCACAATACATTAGAGTGAATTCTCCTAATCATAGGCAGTTGACTTCCATCTCTCGGAACATAAAGGATCTTATTGTCGTTTAAAATCATCTGGTTTATACGTTTGTTTTGTAAAGTGCAAATAAGGTATGTTATTTTGTTCATAAAACGATAAAACTATAAGAAAACTCGTCAAGGTCATTGTAAAATATACTAAATAGTTGTTGTTCACTTCTTTAGCATTAATAAAACATTGTTAATTAATCAATTAGCAGTAATAATGTCATTAAAATAAATCTAAATGTGACTGCACTATAAACGTCACTCCGCACCTCCCTTGCCTTTGACCTAGTGAACTTTCCCTCGCTTTTTATTACGCCCCCAATATTACGTGTAAACAAACAGAAATACGCAGTTTTATTAGTGTTAAATCAGTGACATAAAATAGAGCATAAATAATTCGTGTCTATGTTCTGTTTTAACCAATTTTCGGTACATAACTTAACTATGGCTTAGTGAAAATTTTAAAAAAATAAAAAAAAATAGTGAAAATATTAAATGACTCAAATTACTACACTTAAATTATTTATTTATTTATCTATGCATCTTTGTAACTTCATTTTGTTAGGAAAACTATACAATCCTTCTGCGCCTCACACTGTATGTAACTTTTCAAAATAATAACAAACGTATCGTTGTATGAACGTAGATATCAGAGATAAGATCAAAAATAACTACGTTAGTTTTGTGAGTAAACTTGTGAAAGAAAGAGATGGCGAGATACTATTGTTGAGGTAGAATGGGACAGATGAAAACAAATCACTTGAATATTGTCATTAGTGGGCGCTTATCGGATCGTTTTTAATGTTTTTATTTTTCTGTACGTCATTGTCCGCGGAACGTTATTGGAGTGCAGTGTTGGAAATAACAGTGTAAAAAAATAATAAGTTTTTAGTACATTTGTCTAAAAGTGGTTTAGTTGTCAAGGTGAATTTGTTTTCTATTTTAACGATATTTTTAAAACTAATACATTGTTTACATTTTGTTTTATAAATATTGCAATAAAGTATTTTAATCTGTGAGCATTTAAAGTAATATAATTATTAAAAAAAAAAGGATGGCTCTTTTTTAATTTTTATTGTTATTATCAAATTAACATCCTTTTCAGTTTGTAATCGTTTGTAACCTCTCTGTTTAATATATTGCTAAATTGCTAAGTAGAAAATTCCTATTTTAGCTTTTCCCTTAATATTGCACTAAATCTATTATTCATATTAACCATTTACATTGTTGGTTTCATCCAGAATATTGTTGCCTTGAACTACTTGAAAAATATGCGTTTGACCTTATTATAGCGTTATGGCGCGACATTTTCGCGAACGCAGAAATGTCACGAGATTATAATTTCCGCCCACCATTGCTTATCAGTTGGGGATCCTCTGCTTTTCATAATCATTGCGATGACAATTCCATAGTGAATGTAGAACGATAATTACGTCTTAATTTGTTGTCGAAAAAAGAGTGTTGGAACCAAAGAATAATTGTGTATAGTCATAAATAAACAGTTCAAGTACAAGTTGATAGGCACAGGTGCCATTCCGTAACATGCGGTAAAGTTTCCTCGCCAAATACACGCTGATCAGTTGGTTATTGTAATATTCTATGGGCATTTAATTTATTGCTTCTAAGTATAGTAACAAAAATCGATTAATTTGATATGAATGTACTCTCAATCAGATAGGTGACGTATTGTATTAGTTAAAAAACTTTCTATCCTCATGTATTGTTCCTAGGTTGTTTTGCGAAAGCATTTGAACGTATTCCGCGGTCAATGGCTTCGTCGTTGGTAGGCGAGTTGAGCGCGGCGCCGTCGCTGACGGGCTCGCTGACGGAGGCGGTGGGCCCCGCCCCACCCATGCAACTCATGCACGTGTTAGAGTGCACTGTTGATCTGAAAGAGACGGATGCGAAGGTAGGAAATCCACACTTATAATATACATGTTAAAGTTGTATTTTCCTTGCTCGTGTTGATTCAAACTAACCAAGAATAACAAGAACATCTGCAAAATAACTACAAAGATAATGTTATGCTTTTGTATGTATTTTAGGTTAATTATTCTATACTAGTTTTCACCTGTGACTCTGTCCGCGTGGAATTAAAAAAAAACAAAACAAAAGTGTTCTTCCAGATTATCCCCTAAATCTATACCAATTTTCATCGATATCCGAGCAGCCGTTTAGGCTACAAACTTTAACAAACATCTATGTAAACTTTCACATATATAAAATTAGTTAGATAGTAAGATAAGTAATATTTCCAGGGTACATACAGCCACGTGCCAAAGGAACGTCTCGGCTTCAAGTTGCGCGGTGGCATTGACAAGCAAGTCACCATCAATGTGCAGCAAGTCACCAACAACGTGCAGCCAGAGATGGATGACTCGCAGGTTAGATAGATCGAATGACCTTGAACTGAAATACAATGGATATTTGATATATTTTTAATAACTTTACTCTTTTCGCTTTCAGATGTCGTACACCGGGGGGTTGTATATAGAAAGATGCTTTGGTATTCTACTGGCTCCCGGACGCAGCGTCAAACATTCTGATATGAGATTACTTGAGATGGTTAGTAGATATTTGTTACATCCTGTAGTAAAGCAGCCTTTTTATGTTTTCTACCCAAAAAAATGGTCAAGTACTAGCAAGTATAAAGACATCGAAATTTGCTTAGTTTACTTTTCTCAGTTAAAATTTGCAGACACACAAATAAGTAGACTCGTCCACAGCAATACCACGACCACACAGAAGACAGCCGTGAAATGGGAGCAATTTCGCGTTTCTTCTGATGAAAACGTCCCTTTTTTATATCATAAGATGGCAAACGAGCAAGCGGCCACCTGAATCCGCCAAAATAGCAAAGTGACCGCTGCCCATAGACATTCGCAGTAGCGGATGTGTTACCTACCCTTAATCGACGAAGGAGGAAACACACAGAAGG